TAGCGCGGGGAGGGGGGCATGCCCTCCAGTTCATGCAAACCAGAGCGGCAGCGCCCAAGGGAGCCCAGCGGGAGCTTGTTTCCTGGTTTGGACGCACTTCCCTCCTCCCGGATAAGCAGGGTCTGCATCTCTCGCTCCCGAGTGCGGCGGCCGCCAGCAGGAGGCAGTGCCAAAGGATGACTCAGTGCTGAGCCAGCGTGCGGGCGTCGCGGGGCAGGTGACTGCGCACGTGACGGAATGGGACCCATAGCTTTTGGCGCCGACACTCGCCAGGGTGGGAGGTCAAGGTCGCCTGGGGGTGGGGGGTAGTGGGGGAGAACGCCTGGAGGTCCGCTCTGTGGTCGGCCTGGACCTCCCGGGGCCTGCAGGAGTCAGGCCTCAGGAAAAAGTTGTCCGATGTGGGGGGTTGCATGGGGGTAGGGGGGCGCCCGGGTTGGTCAGAGGGCCTCCTACACCGGGAAGGTCAGGGCCCAAGGGTAACCCCAGGCTGCAGCGGGCGCACGGGAACCCTCCTGCCTCAGAGCCGGCGCATGGAGGAGGAGGAAAGGACTTGTCCATCACTGAGGCACCACCGCCTCTGAGGATATTGCCAGATCTGGGGGCGGAAGGACGGACCAGTGGCCAGGTGCCTGCCTGGGCATTTTTAAGCTCCCAGCTCTGCAGGGCTGGGTTCTCCTTGGGCAGCGATGCATGTGCCCCAGGGTAACACCCGTGAGGCAGGTCCCACTGGCGGTTTCTCCTCACCCAGCTAAGCCCCTCCCTGTCCCTGCATTTTCTGGTCGTCACAATTTTACCAAGGATGTCATGGTTTCCTGGTATCCATGACTGAATACTGAGACCATTTCCTCCTTAGCCTTTTGTTTTGTTAATCCTCACCGAGGATATTTTTTTCCATTGATTTTTAGAGAGAGTGGAAGGAGGGGCGGAGACAGAAAACATCAATGTGAGAGAGACATCTATTGGCTGCCTCCCACACGAGCCCCGGGGGATCGAGCGTGCAATCAAGGTATTTGCCCTTGATTGGAATCGAACCCAGGATCCTTCGGTCCGCAGGCCGACACTCTAACCACTGAGCAAAACTGGCTAGGGCTCATCTTTAGCCTTTTAAAATCTATAATTAGCCCGGCCAGTGGGGCTCAGTGTTTGAACATGGAACTATGAACCAGGAGGTCAAGGTTTGATTCCCCGGGCATCTCTCGATCCCCAGTGTGGGGGTGTGCAGGAGGCAGCGGATGGATGATTCTCTCTCATCAGTGATGTTTCTGTCTCTCTGGGGGTCTCGGAGGGCCCTCTCCCTCACTCTCGGAAATCAATAAAAAATACACTTCCCTGAACTCCTTTTCCGAACTCCATGCCCTCCCTTCCTATGACGCTCTCCGGCGGAGTTATGCCCATTGCCACGCGCCGCTCCTGCTCTGCTAGCTCGTCCCGGACAGCACGAAGCAAGCAGCTGAGGGGAGGAAGGGGTGCAGCTTCACCCCATTTCTGCTCCGTTGGCTGTGGGAATTTCACAATCGTATCATAAACTACAATTTCTTGGCCTTTTAAAACCGACCACCCCTTTGATGTCTAAATCTCTCGGCAGGCACACCTCACGGGTGGCAGGCAGTCCCAGGTCACTCACTGAGTCACATCGGGGCGTGTGCTGTTCCAAATGGGTCTCCCCGTTTCTAACATGAACACGTGCACTTGCCTCCAGGTGAGCTGTGGCACGTGGGCTGCAGCAAGGACTGGGTGTGCTCAGTGCACGTCAGTGTGACTGTCTCCCGGGGACAGGATTGGCTTAACAAGATCGATGCGGGGGCCCTCAGTGCCCCTAGCAGAGCCCATCAATCCATGCCGGTTGCTGCAGGAACCCCTAGGCCCCATGGAAAGTCATTCCCCTGGACCAGTGACTGCGAACCTTCTGAGCTCGGCGTGTCAGCATTTTGAAAAACCCTAACTTCACTCTGGTGCCGTGTCACATATAGAAATTTTTTGGTATTTGAAACCATAGTAAAACAAAGACTTATATTTTTGATATTTATTTTATATATTTAAATGCCATTTAACAAAGAAAAATAAACCAAAAAAATGAGTTCGCGTGTCACCTCTGACACGCATGTCAGGTTCACCATCACTGGCCTAGACTTTGCTAGCTTCCTTTTTTTTTTTAAGGGGGAAAGGAACCATATTCTTTTAAAAAACGTATTTTTATTGATTTCAGAGAGGAAGGGAGAGGGAGAGATCGAAACATCAATGATCAGAATCATTGATCGGCTGCCTCCTGCATGCCCCCAACTGGGGATCGAGCCCACAACCCGGGCCTGTGCCCTTGACCGGAATTGAACCCAGGACCCTTGTCTGCAGGCCGATGCTGCCCACTGAGCCACACCAGCAAGGGCTTCTCTTCTTTTTTAAGATGGCCGAGGGCACGGTGCCAAGGCCATGGTCCTCAGCCCCTTGACCTGCAGGAGTGGCCGCTGGCCCTGCTGCCTCAGGAAACATTCACC